TTCATAGTTAACTCTTGCAACCCTTGAACCCATTTGCTATCTCCTAGGTGAAATTGTTCTTACGATTTGCTAAGCCCGTGGAAGATAAAGGAGGTACTTGTCTTGCCCCATGAGCTCATCTTTGCAGGAAGGGTGAAGAAAAGCAAAAGGCCTCCCTGGGCAATCCTAGAAGGGCTGTGATTGTGCAGGCCTTGATGCTGAGAAAATGGGCTGCTCTTTCTGTATATACAAGACTTGTCACTTTGTACTTTGTTTCTTTGTGAAGACATGAACATCTAGAGATTAAGGTCTATGGGGAACTAGAATGTCTAGGAATGGAAGCAGATGGAAACAGTTTCATATTATACACATAAATTTAACTGTGACCTGAGATGGATTGTCCAGTACTTCTATAAAGGCAAAACTGAATTTTTTGTGGCTGTTTTCTGCCGTCATGTTGTATAATCTAGTCACTATTCAAAAACTCTTCAAACTTCAGTTTTTAGTACTTATTTCATAGAATTTTGTGAGGATTAAATGCAAAGAACAGGTAAAGGGCTTAGAACAGTGTCTCTCCTATTATGAGTGTTAGCTACATTTATTATTTTAAAAATTCATATAACAATAATGTATCTTCTTCAGTAGTGATTGAAACTTCCTTAAATTTTAATGTCCCTGATTTTAGGTTCCCTGATACTTTTACCAAGGTAGGTTGTTTTGATTTAAAAGTCCTCAAGTGCTTGATAACATGCAGGGTTTATCATTAAACATTTTTATTGCATGTGTATTTGCAAAGTACATTTTGGTCTTCTATGAGTCTACCCAATCACCTTCTAAGAGAAAACTTAGTGTCAGAATACTGTTGAATAATGATGAGGCTAAGGACGTGGAAAATTAAATGACAAGAATCATCTTTCATTCAAACCTCTCAAGGAAGATGTCTAGAGTTTGGGTTTGCATGTGTCTACAGATAAGTGTATGTGGGCATCCATACACTTATATAACATTTATGAGTGAGTGTATAACATTTATGAGTCCTGTTAAAAACATTTTTTTTTCCTAAGTTAAAATAGGAATCATTCTTTAAGCTTTTGGATAAAGAATTTCAGTTTACCAGGTAATGGAAAGGAAATGTTATTACTACTTAAGGGCTGGAACTCTGAGGTAGAGTGCTTTGGAATAATTCAAGATTGCTTACTAGTCACAGCTAATGATTCCAGTTTTACTCTGCAGGAGGCAACTACCATTTGCAATGTGAACAACATCAAAAGGGTAGTATGGGGGCTGGGGCTGGGGCTTAGTGAGGCACTGAGGCACGTGTAAGACAGTGCACTGGGTTCAATCCTCAGCACCACATAAAAATAAAATAAAGGTATTGTGTCCACCTACAACTAAAATACCTCTTATTACTCTGGAAAGAGCCTAACCATATTATAAATAGGCCTGGATTTTTTAAAGATAGGGCTGGACTGAGAGGGTTCTCTGGTTGGTATAAGCAGTAGGTATGGAAAGCCTACACCATCTGCCATGGGTTCTGCCTTCTTCTGTTTATAGAAGTTTATTTGTAAGTCTGTATTGGTCATCAGGCAAATGCCTTATTTGTCTCCTGATTGTTTATAAAACCAAGAAGCCAGGCGACAGGATATTTATACTGTTGTTTATCAAAGCATTCACTGTGAGAAGAGACAAGCAATTCATCTGCCAAAAATATTGTGGTCTTTGAATTATGAGGGCACATGTGTAGGGTCACTGCATTACTAGGTCGTAAGTAAATGATTTTGCTCTCTTAAGCTAATGATGCACCTCATTTAGGTTGACTTCTCTGTCCTCAGACTTATAAGCAAAATTTCTGCCTTTCACTTACAGCTTTTTAGCCCATCAAGCAGTTGCTTCTCCACATCCTTATTCAGAACTTCAACATCATTTGCCCCCCTTCTAGAGTGAGATCAGGTGAATTCCAGAGCTAATCAGACTGTGTCATCCCTGCTTCTGAGTTTCCATGAGCAGTTTCAACAATGTTTCCTGATTACAAGATCTTTTAATGTCTCCTCCCTTTCACCCTATCACTTATCTGATTTACTTCTAATTTTTCATGTTCCAGGCTTATATTCGTTTTATTAATCTGCTTCTTTCTTCATCATCTGCCCTACCTCTGCCACTTTGTAACTATAGCAAACTACTAAACTCCAGAACTTGGGCTCTGTTGTTCAAATTCTCAAAAGTCATCCAAATTATTCTGGTAGCAAAGTAGAAGAGCTTAAAAATATTTTTAAGCTTAGAAAGACTCACCTAAACATGGCCACACTCCTGTCTTGGGGGAAGTTGTGGGTGGGATTTTACCTGAACATTCTTTGGACATTCTGTGTTTGGTACTGCCCACATTGAATCAGCTATTTTTAAAACAAGTGTCCTTGAGGGGTAGTAATGGAAATACTTGGAGTTTACCTCTGGCTTTGTCCAGGAACAAAATCTCAACCCCAGCCATATTCTTTAGAAAGAAAAGACCATTTTCACTGTTAGACTGTAAGCTCCCTGGGGGGACATATCTCTAGGATCTGTTCATTCTTGTATACCAAATGCCATGGAATGGAGCCTTTTCCATTGTATGTATTCAGTACCTCTTTGTTCATTTGAATTTCTATAATTTCTATCTGATGAAGATATTAGTCTAGTATTGCATTGCAATAAGGCTCTTTTCCATTAAATTGAGGACTATATTCTCTCTTTTTCCCAGTGTCAAATAGGTATGACTGAGTAAACTTTAATATAGCAATTAAAATACACAGGAGAAAAAGATCATTTTATCCATCAAATTGCTTTGCATGTACATAGATTTCTGAGGATTATAAACATATCTCAGAGACCAGGATTAGTGGCAATGTAGAAATATGCTAAAATTTAAGAGATATCTCAAACATGAAGGATAGTGAATAAAGAGAAAATTTATGTTTTAAAAAATTTATAGAAATACAAAATTGATGAGTTCCCTGTATATCTGCACATCAAGTATTTTCCAAGGATCTTATTACGTTACTCCTAAACAATTTTTTTTTAATGAAATAAAGGATTTAGTTTGGTATCTTACTAGATCCTTCACAAATTTAAAAATTATGGTATTATGATTATAGATGATTGAAAATTATAGAACATAAAACTGAAGACTTCATTCTCTTTTTGGAATGGGATTACTGTGGAACAGAGTCTTGACCTAAAGTTGATGGTTGTACTACCTTGTATATTTGAGTTTCCTAAATCTGTATATAAACATTTTGTATATGTGCATTTTTTTTTCCATGAGGAACAAGGATCCATAGTTTTAATCAAATTCCCAAGGTAGTTAGAGACCCCAAAACTTTATAAAACTATGGAGTTATAGTATTTTGTCTTTCTACAAGATGTAGCAGAACTCTTGTGTGTCAGTTTTATGCTAAACATTTATATGCATTAACTATTTCACCCTAACTTCATAATATCATAAGTAAGGAAGATTTCCAAAGTTGTACAGTTGATAAGAGGTAGAGCTGGAATACCAGCCCAGGCAAAACCAAAGGGCCCTGCTTTTATTCATTACATAGGACTACCTTTTGGGTAGAGAGAGCATATGTCAAAAACCAGAGCCTTCTCAGTCTAAGCCATCATTTCCCCTTAAATCATCCTTTATATAGAAACTGCTTCCTAAGCTTCCTAAAGCTTTAGCACACTCAAGCAGCCCTCCTCAAAGTAACTAGCCTTCTAAGGCACAGAAGCCACTCTCTCCAGACTGCTCACCTCAGTTTTTTTCCATTGTACAGCTAGGCTGCAGTAAGCAACATTTTATCTTAACTGTCTATTGGAGACAAGTCTGCCCACATGGCACAAATGAACAACCCATACATTTGGAGAGTCTCCAAAAAATCCATCCCAAGCACTGAATGATCCTGGCTCAGTTCCAAAATTTTACTAACCTTCCACAAATTGTGATTCCAGACACGTTTATACCTTGGCCCCCAGGATAATGGAAGCCACAAAAGAGGCAGAAATTAAAATGTCCATCCAGCTGGGCCCACAATGTGGGCCAGCAATTACAATGGAACCCATTGCCTCTTAGGTCACCTGAGGGTAGCACATCTGTGCTTTCTGCAAAAGGAGTAACAAAGTTATCCACAGCAATTTTCTAGATTTAAAAAAAAAAAAAAAAAAAAAAACCTCTGTAAATACAGTGCACTACTTATCAACAACAACCAAGACTTTAAAAAGCAATAAGAACACATTTAAAAAAAAAATCAGGTGAAAAGCAGAAATCAGAATTGTGGTAAGCCAGGTTTCCACCATTATTTAGGAGCAAAATAAACTGAATATATGGCCAAGTCTGGAAAGGGAAGTAAGAGAAAGCATTTATGTTCTAAGAAAAGAATGATAATCACCTTCTCATTTAGCTCAGATTCTGGGAGAAGGAGTAGCATGTCCTGTCACTGCAGACAAAAAAAAAAAAAAGAAAAGAAAAGAAAAGAAAATGAAAAACATATGCATATATATCTGCAGCAAAGATAATTCCTGAGAGATCATAACTTTGTGGGAATGTGGGAAAAAAATTGAAGCAGCAACCCAAGAAAAATAAGTGAATACAGAAGACCCAAGTCAGAACCATGAGTAACAGGAAGAATGGAATAGCATGGGAATCATGACACTGCTAATCTCCTCACTTTCTCCCCTTTTTTGGCAGGGGATACTGGGGATTAAATTCAGGGGCACTCAACCACTGAGCCACATTCTCAGCCCTATTTTGTATTTTATTTAGAGACAGGGACTCATTGAGTTGCTGTTGCTGAGGCTGGCTTTGAACTAACAAACCTCCCATGCCAATGGGATTACAGGCCTGCATCACTACACCCTGCTCCCTCTCTCCTATTTTATTCTTTATAGCTCCAGCCATTGATGAGTATCACTCATTTGACCTGAAGTCATTGGTTGTGTTTTCTGTGCCTCTAGAAGGTGCTGATTTCAGTGTGAGTGTTGTAATGTCATATTTATCTCTTTGTTAGGTTTGAAATTGAGACTCCAAGCAAGCAGATTCTTTTCTTCTGGTATGTAAGCCAGTGGGGGAAATGGATGGTACTCCAGCAAAAATAACCTTCTTCCCAATCTGCTTTATAACTCGAAGAGACACCTAGTCAAGTAAATGAAGAAAACTGATGTTTAATCATAAAGGAGCTTAATTAAACTGTTTCACTTTATCCTTTTTATATCTCTATACAATAAAATGCATATGGTTTTCTTCATTATAGTATTTGTCACCTGCTTTGTGATTGTTTTTTTTACTTGGCTTCCTTCTGCATAAGATTACGGGCTTTGTAAGGAGAGTTTTCTTCATCATTCTATCCTTAGTTGAATATTTTTTAAGAATAAATTAATAAATAAAGTCAGCATCAAAAAGTCTTCTAGTCTGATAGGAATAGTGAATTATTATCAGGTTAGTAAAATGTGGGTTGTGTTTCTTGGGAGTATATAATAAACAGTAGTTGTAAGCTGAATTTACATTATATGTAAATACAATGTTGAATCTTAGTTGTAAGTTTTGGAATAAGAACAATTGTTTAGGTCTGTGGTGAATAACTATTATTTTTGTCATCCAGCTATCATTTTTCATTTGGGTAACTCTTGGCAGTTGGGGTCTGGGAAACTGCTCTCTCTCAACCAGGCCCTTATCTTCTTGCAGTAGGAGCCTCCTTCCCAGGTATGGTGGGTCCAACGTTGGTATGTGATACTCTGTGAGATCCCTCCATGGGCAGCCACACAGATGGGAACTGGGGATAGAAAGGGAAAGGGGAGGGTTCTTTTGATACCTTTAGGAGCCAATAAGTCACCAACATCTTAGTTTTTTCTCTCATTTGCCACAAAATTTTTACTAACTAGTTCCGAGATGGCATGGTTAGTTTTTATATTCTTAAAAGAAAAGGATCATTTTAGAAGGCTCTAAGAGAAAGTAAAATTTGGTAAGTTCTTGGTCTTGTTAGGAAATTCGTCATTTTATTGGACTGAAATCTTCTACCTTAGATATAATATTCTAGTTTCTGGAACTACAGATAATTCACACGCATGTAATCTCTCTTCAACCTGACAGCTCCATATAGAGAGAGCAATTATGACTCATTTGTTCATTCTTTCATTCAATAAATATTTATTGAGTACTTACTATGTGCATGCACATCTTTCATTCAGGTTATATATTCAGACTGTCTTTGAACTGTTTCTCATATCACAGGGATTCTAGGCCAGTATTGCTGTTTGTTCTTTAGAACTTCCCTGTGTCAAGTCATCTAATATTGCTATTCCTTCTTTAGATTCCACTGTGTCAAATCATCCCCTTGAAAATATGGTATCTGGAGCAGAATATGATGGCCTTGTCTCATTTATGTTGCATATATTTTAAGTGCCAACCAAGTGCTAGGCCCAAAGGAAACAACAATGAACTAGACACAGCGTTGTGCTCAGAGGACTCCCTGACCAGAGGGAAGCTGCTGTGTGAATAAACTAGGACAGCACAGGGGGCTATAGCATAATGCAGAGGAGGGAACTGACAGTTCTGTCTATAGAGGGGAATCCCTAAAGTGCTTTTGATGCTGAGAAGGTGAGCTAGGAGAGGAGGGTGGACCTTTGACAGGTGGCTGGGGTTGGGAGAGGTTATTCTAGGGAGAGTTGGAGGCCCGAGCAAAGCAAAATGGAATAAAGATGGAATAGAACAGCTTAGTGAGTGCAAGGTCCTACAAACGCTTTGACAGGAGAGGGGGATGTGGGAGGGAGATATAAAAGAGGTGAGACTAGAAAAGTCATCAGGGATATAAGCTCATGATTGAGCCTTGAATGCCTCACTAAGGAGATGTTTTTTGTTTTTTTTTTTTTCCATGAAGTGACATGGAGTCTCTGAAGGTTTTGAAGAAAGGAGATGACATGATTACATTTCCATTTTAGAAAGACATTTTGAAGATGTATGATCTAGGGGATGGACCTCTAGAAAACCAAGTCAGGAAAACAAGCTGGGGGACTAGATTGGGTGGGAGGTGAGGAAGAAGATGGGTTAAAGCCAGTGAGGATATGCAGGCAGGCTGTGCTGCAGACCTTTGCTGCTCAAAGTGGGTGAGAGGACAGGGGGCATCAGCAGTCCCTGTAAGCTTGTAAAAAAAAAAAAAATGCAGGATTTAAGGCCTCATACTAGGCCTGCTCAATCAGAATATGCAGGTTAACAAGATCCCTAGGTCTTTCACAAGCACATTAAAGTTGGAGGGACACTGACATAGCTCCTCAGCATACAGTGATGAAGACAGCTTAGGTCCCTGCCCTTGTGGGGTCACACCCCAGCAGGGAGGTAGATTTAAAACAATAATTCCACAGCTGACATTGAATGACGGCTGTGATTAGTGCCAGAAAGGTGAAACATAGGGAACTGGGCAAGCATCCAATTGAGGGACCCACCCTGGGTCTGTGGGTTCAGGGAAGGTTTCCCTGAGGTAAGTTTAAACTGACAAGCAGCAGTGAACCAGATAAAGCAAGTATTGAGTGTGGGATGTGGGGTGTGTGTGTGTGTGTGTGTGTGTGTGTGTGTGTGTGTGTGTGTGTAAGTGTAAGAATCTTCCATGCAAATACCAGTGTCTTAGAGTTAACAGAAAGAGCCAGAAGAAGCAGTATGTGAGCCTGAGGTCAGGCAGGGGATCAGGTCCAGCCTTTCTATCATGCAAAAGAGATTTGATTTTATCTTCAGAAGGAAATGGGAGGAGAAAGCCCAGAGCAGTATTGGGAAGCCCACACAGAAGAGAACTGACATAGCCTTCTCTGAGGGTTCTGAGCACAGCCCCTTCATTATGGAGACTATTGCTTTAGGTGTTTTAGTTTTGACTTTTAGTTTTCACACAGTTCAAGAATGACTTTTTGAACCTGGTCTCTGTACTAGGCCTTCTGTGATCAAGGGGGAGATATTAAAATATGTGAGATGCAATCCCCACCTTTAAAGATATTCCAGTTTAGTAAAGACATTCTGCTCCATTAAAGAAACTCATACATAATAAAACCAGGAAGAACTTCCAACTAGTTAATCATCGACTATGTCTACTCACCCAGACTGCTTCAGAGACAGTTTTCCCACCTCCTGTTCTGATATACAGTGTGTGATTTTTTAAAATTTTTTTAAAGTTGTCAATGGATCTTTATTTTATTTATTGATACATGGTGCTGAGAATCAAACCCAGTGCCTCACACATGCTAGGCAAGCACTCTACCACTGAGCCACAGACCCAGCCCTGGATTTTTTTTAGTACAAAATTTTACATTTTTCTTGGTTTCAGCTATCCTCCCAAACTGCCCTATCTTTTTAAATCTTGCTTCAATCATCAATTTATTAGCTCTCTCTTTCAACTCTCACCTATATGTAGATCTGATGAACATGTCTTCTTTTTGTTAGTTTAAGGCCCTACTTAAAAAAAAAATTGTTGACAGATCTCAGAGGCCCCTTAATCCCCTTAGCTTGGCAGTTGTAGAAATTCCCTTCCAGGGAATGATTAGTCAATATTGGTTAGTGCCATATGGCATTTTTTTTTTTCTGAAACATGGTTCCCTATCTTGTTGATAGAGATAAATGCTCTATTTATGGGTACCCACAACACCTGTGAATATCTACTTTACAGTACTTGTGACATTACATTTTAATTTTGCTATATTGCTATTGGTAAGGGAGTACTCTTTTACTTATTCGTGTATTGTCAATACTGAGCACAGTACATTTCATATGATGGGCATTCAATAAGTATTTGTTCAGTAACTTAACCTGCATAACTTTTATAGACATGAAGAAATTGTGTAAGACAGACAGACAATTAGATATATTTTGAGGACTGAAATATAAAATTTATCCCTGCACATGGTTCCCAGGTCTGTGGACAGTTCAGGTCTATGTAAGTGAGTAATTGGGGCTCAAGTTGATTTCTCAGATTGGCTCCACAGTATTATATACTTTGCTTTCTGGAGTATTTCCTGACATTCTGTAGAAATTTTAGCCTCTTTGGTTTATCCTAGAGGTTCTACAAGTAATGCAGTGAAATCAAGAGTAAAGAGATGTGTAACTGCTCATATACATGACTGATCCCCAATTTCATGGACAGTAAGTGTCAAAGAGCCTGGATTTTGCTAGTAGAACTCTGGTTAACAGGTATACAGAACATAATAATATGGGAAAACTGTCAAAATAATAAATATCCTCCTTTTTATGTTAATCATCTTAAGGTGTTTGTAGATTTTCATTTTGTCCTGGCAAGTCTCACTGTTCTCTTGATTAATTAAATTATAGATATCACAGACACTTATTTTTAAAATTTACTTTTATTAATTCCTCACTGCCTTGATTCTATTTTATCCTCTTACTATATCTGGTTTGGAAAAAAATACTTGATAATATCAGTTGGGACTTTTCTGCATTCTACATTCCATTCCTGTATTATGGATTTCATAGGCATGGGCCAATTCAATCCTCATCAATGAGAGACAGGAATGCTATTCTTCTTAGTTTATGAAAAATGAAATGGACAGGGGGGGTGGTTAAATCAGTCATATAATTTTTTCCATCCCTCTTGCCAGTATGGTGGCATGTTGCAGAGCTGAGGTGTGAATGATACCTGATTCTAGAGCCTGAACTCAGCATACGCAAGTCTGCAGAGGGCCAAAGACATAGGATGCCACCTTGAAAGTACCTTTAGAGATTATCTAGCTCAGAACATGATGCATGCTTGTGGATTTGATTGGCTCTGTCACTTTCTGGGCAAAATGAAACCCCCATTGGAGACCAAAAGGCTTGTAGAAGAGAGGGTTAGAAGAAGGCTGTGGGTAGTGTAGGTTAAATCTAATCCCAGACTCCCAGGAAAGGATTTGCTTTTCTGGAGCTTTGGAATTGTATGGATATTCTGCAAAATTTCTTTCTTTTCTTTTTTTTTTTTCTTTTTCACCTTTTAAAAATAAACGTTTATTCTACAAATTTTTAAACCTACATTGATTGATATGTTTTCTCATCAATAAAATACTGAATAAGTAAGATTGCCATCTCATTTTAGCTTTAACTGCCACCAGTTAGCTATGTGACCATAAGGTTTTTTGTTTTGTTTAACATTTACTTATGTTGGCTCCTTTTTTTTTTTTTATTATCATAACACAGGTTGGGCATTTGTTATGTGCTGGCTTAGGTAAATAATAAGCGTGTATCTTTTATAAAAAAAAAAAAAAACATTTACTGAGTGCTTCTGTGCC